CCCCCCCCCCCCCCCCCTTTCTCCCTTCCTGTAATTGACACAGAACCTTGTACAGGCCTATCATAAAACAGCCATATCTTTTTTCAGGTAATCATGCGAGCCTGAAAGTAGATCCTTTTGCTTTAGCACTTTAAAGCAGCAGTGTCTTTTTTCAGGTCTCCACTGAAGCCTGAAAAGGACATGGGTGCTTTAATTAGGAGCAGAGAAGTGCTGTGTTTGAATGAGGCCTATTGCTGTTGTATGCTCCTTGAAATGTAAATACGCTATAAACAAATACATTTGCTATCAGTATAACAAGGCAAAGTGTTCAAATATGTCATAGGTTTCAGCTTTTTAGAAATCAGATATAGTTGAGTAAGAGCCCGGTATTTTAGAAAATGGCTGCAATACTTACATTACATTTGCTTTTTCCTGTCCTTTGTTTAAGTAGATAGAGCTACATTACTGGAGTAAGCAAAAGAATTTAAAAAATAAAAATGTTGAAAGTTACCCTTCTTGGACAGTAGGAAGCATTAAATTCATCTCCAATGCGCCGTAATTCCTGTGCAATCCATATTTCTGGCCGCATATCCTCAGGTATTGGCCGTGACTGCCATCTGGAAGCTGGATCAAAACAACACAATTTTTTTTACATTTCCATAAGGTTTTCCACATCCATTCCCCACAGTGCCTGTGCATCCAAGGATTTTACTACTTATTTCTCTTCAAACTATAATAATGATTTAATAAAGATACAGGGGAAAAATAATTATGTCATAGTGATTTCTATAATTATCTTTTATATTAAAGCTATCATGTCATCAAACTCTAAATTCTTTTGTTCATTATATCAGCTGAATCTATTAAATTGTATTTTTCACCTAAAGTAGTAGTAAACTGTGCAAAACTATATCCATGGCCACTATGGGCTTTCAGATACTTCCTACTCAGCTAGGATCAAACACTTTTACGAACAATTCAAGACTGCTCCAACAGCTACATGGGAAATTAAACTTCAGAGTACCAATAAAATAGAACTACATAAAGTATCACAAAAAAACCTCATATTTTAGATAAGTAAAAAGAGGACAGAAATACTGAGGATTATCTCCCCAAAAATTATGTTTAAAGCAAAAAAGTGAGCCTACAGCATGGAACTCTACATTCTGATGTCATGGGGATTTATATCCCACTTCCCTTGCCAGTCAATAATAACAATAGCACTCCTACCAGTGAAGCAGTATTCTGTCATTTCTCTGATAATTTCCAAACAGCACATATTATCATCATCTCTGGATTAAACATTAGAGAATTATTTACTCCAGGCGCCGTAACTATGCAAAATCTGAAGAACAGTTTATCATACAAGCCCAACATTGTAGGGATGCTGTTAAAGGCCACATATCACATAAACCAAAATACAGTAATACCTCGGTTCACAAATGCTTCTGTTCACGAACAATTCGGTTCGCAAACAGCAGTGTTCACAAATTTTTGCTTCTGTTCGCAAACTCCACATCGGGTGACGAACACGACCTGCAGCCATCTTCTCTTCTCTGACACGTGGTCGTGGCTTCCTCTAGGCGAGATCACGGTCGCAAACAGATGCTTGCTGTGAACTTTTTGGTGTCGCCTCAAGCAAGTTTAGTGTTCTCTCTCTTCGTACTGTACTGTACTTTGTTTCATATTTTTGTGGTTAAAAAAAATTCATATGGTTCAGAATGGATTAACCTTATTTACATTGAACATTATGCGGAAATTTGATTCGGTTCGTGACCAATTTGGTTTGCGACCAGAATCGTGGAACGAATTAAGTTCGTGAATCGAGGTACCACTGCACTAGTATGTGCTAAACTTCAAACCTTGTACAAAGATACAAGCAAACCAGCTAGGATTCATTATAGCTTCACGTTATTAGCAAACTATGAGATGTTTGGAACCTGGTTTACAGCTATCTTCCAAACTGTGTTTAAATGCACTCTTTTCAAAGATCAAGGAGCATCCTGCTTTCTGTTCACGAGTAAATTTATTTTAGAAGATGTCAACCAATATTTCAGCTCAAGCAGTATACTGTTCTATCTACTCACAGATACGCTGAATAGATTTATTCAAAACAAAAAAAGGGGGCACAGTATAGTTCCAAAGATTGCTTCTTGAGACTACTACTTTTTCTCTTTAAGAAATGTTGAGCATACGGAAAGATATGTTTCAAACATGTAGACTCAACTAACATGTTCGCAGATAGATGCTGAAGCAAACCACTAAAAATTATATACTGTACGTGATTTGTTTTGTTCCTTACAAATCCTTCATCAGAATTCATCTTTTCCATGAAGTGTTTGGCATATTACCCTGATTCCTATACCCAGTTACAACTTAGCTGCTAACCAAGCCCAAGATCCATAACCGAAATAACTGCATATTCCTCCCCATATACAGTGGTACCTCGGGTCACGAACGCTTCTGTTCACGACCAATTCGGGTCACGAACAGCACCGTTCGCAAAATTTTGCTTCCGTTCGCGAACTCCGCCTCAGGTGACGAACAGGATTTGTGGCCATTTTCCCTGCTGTGACACGTGGTCGTGGCTTCCTGTAGGAAGGGGGACTCTCCCTCCAAACAATACCTGCCTCCCCACCCGCCTTCCTGTCCTCCATGCCTCAAGCAAGGTTAGCATTCTCTCTCTTCATAGTGTA